GTTGAGGACGACGCAGCTATCAATGGAAAGGAAAATGTTATATGTAACCTTAAGAGACAAGAAGAGAGCAGAGTGACTCAGAGAACAAACCGGGATTAAGGATATCATAGTTGAAATCAAGAACAGGAACTGTACACGGGCCAATCATATAGCACGTAGACAGTATAACCGCTAGTCATTGACGGTAACTAACTGGATTTCCAGAAAACAGATAACAAATTGAAAACAGATAACAAATGATGCTTCGTTAACTTCCGTACCTTCAGGTGATTAGCGAGTGCAAAGATATGTTCTATGATTAGAGGAAGTAGTTCACTTTATTAGCTGTATATTCGGTACATTGTAATCCTCACTTTAGAGACATTCGAAATATATCAGCAGAAACAGAAAGCGAATTCAGTATATTCGACTATATGCTGTAGTAAACACTATCTCTTCATTCAGACTTCATTAAAGCACAAAGGCTGTTTTTATTTGCGAAGCAGCTCTTTGACAGGCCTGTGTAACGAAGTCCCTCCTTCCGCACTGCACTTCTCTGGCCGCAGATGTTGGGGTGGAGCCAAGCAGGTTCTGCCTTCCCTCGCAGAGCGCACGCATTGACGCCACTCTCTCCCTAGCTTTTCGTTACCCGCCGCGTGTCATCTCACTCGCTTAGAGGGGCACATCTAGTGGAAACACTCTTTGGGCTCGCTCATCTGCAATGGGACTTGCACGAAACCCAACCCGTTTCCCGTGTCTTTGCGTTTCAAAGAGACTTTTACTCGAGTAAAGGCTACATTGAGTTTCACTTCCAACCGTTCTTCCAGCACCCGCGTCGACGTCCGTTTCAGCCAGGTCAACGGCGTGCGCACCGCTGCTGCTCTGGTACCCATTATGGTTCCCTTCAACGAGATGGTCCATACTTTTCTTTCTCCAAGAGCAGTTCGAAACAAACTGCACCTGGCCCTGCCGCTGAGGTCTAGTGGCTAAGGCACTCGGCTGCTGACCCGCAGGTCGCGGGATCGAATCCAGGCTGTGGCTGCTGCATTTCCGATGGAGGCGGAAATGTAGGCCCGCGTACTCAGAGTTGGGTGCACGTTAAAGAACCCCAGGTGGTCGAAATTTCCGGAGCCTTCAACAACGGCGTCTTTCATAATCATGTGGTGGCTTTGGAACGCTAAACCCGACAAATCATCAAAACAGTGCGCATGCAATTAGCGTCTGTTAAATACCCCTAACAAAGAAAACATCTTATTCTCAGCTTTATTACTTTTCTCAGATGTTTAGGGGTGAAATGATCTCCCCGCCTATTGCTTCTTACAACTGCATTCGAGTGTTTGTTCATAAGCTCCCACGTTCACAATGCTGGTTTTATCGCAAACAAGAGAACTACTGCATTTATCATAAATGTAGCGTAACAGTATAACAAATGCAAAACGTAATCAATAAGTTTTAGTGAAAGTATAGAAACAGATTTTCATTTAAGTGCCGAATAGATTAGCTATTTCATATTTGTTTGCGACTTATATATATTGCAATTCAGTATTACATCCAAACTCTGTTTTTAATTTCATTCATTCATACAGCCATTGATAACTGAAGAAGCCATAGCAATTTAAGTCTTGAAGATTTTAAATGACGTTTTATTATGTATGGGATAGTATTGTGCTATACTGTTTGGCATCACAAGTTGGGGTAGTCAGGTCTATGTTTGGGAATATGCGAGTGTGTGTTGGAAAGCCTCAAACTTGAATCGCATAAATTTGCAGCACCCGCTCTCTGATGCAAAGTAGAAAAGAAGGGTGCCATGATCTCGGTGGATGTCGGCGCGTGAGCATCGCTATTTCTGATGAAAAGAAAAAAAAACGCAGTATCACGGGCCAGTCGCGAGTATACGGCGGGTGTGCCAAGCAGAGCACGGTAGCGTGCTGTCCATTGCTTCCAGCAAATTAACGAGTTTCAATTAGCTTATGTCTGCGCATTTAACACATAAAATCATCGCAAAGCCGATCACAATTTAAAAATGATCCTGCTCGCACCAGCAGCGCAAGGTAGCAATAATTAGTGTTGCTTTTATTTATTGCAGTTTCACTAGTAATGCCCATTTTTTTGCTCTAGGTGCCAAGTTCTATAGTACTAGTACTTTATTATAAGTATGGATAGACTTGCTCATTTCATTCTGGTTCCAATCTGTTGAATTTAGACTGTACGCTACGAAGAACTTAGTGTAAAGATCAAGAAAAGTGCCACCACTTAGAGCATAACCATTATGCTACTTTTTTGTCCATGTAAGTCACAAACTTTGACTAAATAAGCTCTCCCATGGCTTCATTCAGGCACTCTTCAGTCACGCATACTTCATGAGAACAATGGCTACGTCATTAATCTCTTCTATGCTTTTTGTAAAGCAAGAGAGAAAAGGGGCACTTGACCTAATTACGTTGACATATTACACTGCGTGCGGATTTCGACAGGTTTATAATCGGGATTCATAATATCAGTGCGACATGCCCAGTGCCGGTGAGTTCATCAGCACAGCGAGTGAGCTCTCAAGTGAAGTGAAGGTTATTTACAACGTGACGGGGGTCGGAAGGTCGAAAGATGCTGTATTATTCTTGAAAAAGTCCAAAGGCGGCCTCTTTAAGAGCATCAGGCATTTTACCGAATCATCACGTAAAACAAAAAACATTGACTGACAAACTGTTCTGTTTGATTTGTTTGCAAAAGGACTGGTTCGCAAAATAACAATGAAGAAATATTTGCGTAGTTGCGCCATCCAGATGACGTGTTTGTATTTATTATATTTATGATATTATGTAATGACGTTATAGTGCGCTCAATGGAGAGCCCGAGGTCCCAATGGGGCTCGTTGCCAATTATGGTGACCAAATTTTGATCCTGGATGCGAGAAGGTGGCTTACAAAAAATTAAAAGAAAACACTGAATCATCGCGAGCAAAAATTACGATAGTTAAAAAAGTAGTATCACGGCCAGTGTTGTGCGCGAATTTTTTTTCTGGGGGGGGGGGGGGGGGGCGAGGGTGCCTCTTTCATCTAAAGTTGAGGCCGGACAACCAAATGGTCCTCTTGCGCTTTGCATGCATGGCGAAAATCTTCAGGGGGGGGGGGGGTGTAGTGCTACCCTTTGGCTACGCCACTGATCACAGCCACTCGTATATAGCGAAACCAGCGGCCGAATAATATATCTGTGCACGTTATAGAATATATATCAATTTTTTAAATTATGGGGTTTATTACAAACCTATGGAGTTTATTGGGTTAAAAGCATGATATACTTACGCGAAACTGGAGGGCTTAGAAAATTTTGCTGACTACGCAATTTCTTCAACGTGCCCCAAAAGTACGCGTTTCCTCCATCCAAATGCAACCGGCGCGGCTTCGATCAAAACCACGTTTTTCAGATCAGCAGCCAAGCCCCGAAATCACTGCCCCAACACTGCGGCAATTGAACTGCGATAGCAATTACATGAACACTCTTTGCTGGGTTTTGCTGTCGGCGTCGGTGTCGACGTCGGCGTCACCGTCACTCACCACATTTGTACACCTATCTATATATATCAAAACGCAATAATGAAAAATTATTTCTAAAACGACTTCCGCGCGCGAAGTCGAACTTGGGACCCTGAAACATGAGTGTGAAGCGAAAACTACGGAGCCACGAAGAGACACGTCCGTGAGCGTTCAAACGGCTAGCTATTTATATCTACCACTTACAGCTGTTGACAGGCATCTCGGCGGGAACTATCGTGTTTTCAGTATTACCAGCAAGGTGGCGCATGAGCGCGCCTTGCCACATCATCACGACGCAGTGGCGCGAGCTCTCCTTTCCCACGCGTACTTTGCCCCGCAGAGAGGAGGGGTAGACGCTCGCTCGCGCGCACTTATCTCGCGGTGGGGAGAATCGCACGTTTTGGCTGCCCTTCAGATTTCACCGGAACAACACTGTTGTAGTTACCGGCCGCACAAACGTTATTGCAAGCGTTGCACAGTCTCCGTTTGCGAAAAGAGCGCGCTTTTCAGACACAGCGAACTAACAACTGAAACGCTTATTCGCGTTCATCTGCACCTTTGAGTACATTTCGCGCGTCATTTGTGCATGAGAAATCCGGGGCACGTTTCGGTCTGCTTGCGATTATGCGCATAGCCTTCGAATTTGTTGTTATCGCGTTCATTGCTCTGCCTTTGTGGCAAAGCGGTGACTTTTTTTTGCAGAACTGCAACTACTAAATATCAATTTCCATTCTGCTACCGCAACGTATCTTGCAGATTACTGATGAGCACTTCAAGGTTGTGGTACGCAAAATTGTAATGCGTTTTATTTTCTTGAGAGTTATGATCAGTCAGGAGCATAGGCAGATTTTTTAGTGGAGCAAGGGGGCGCCCCTTTACCTAAACTGGGGGCCAAGCAGGCAGATGTGATCCATTGTCATTTTTAGTACTGTATGCCTCGGTGAAATAAAGTTGGAGAGGGCACTGACATGGTGTGTTACCCCCTGGCTGCGCCACTGTATTCAGTAGCCGAAAAAAACTGGGTTGGTATGTGGGCGTTCGTTCTTGACAAGACCACTTTGAAACGGACGAGATGGTAAAAATGCAAGCAAACGCGATAGCAGTCACTGATCTGTAAGCCCTTTTGTTTAAAAGAAGGTGCTGAACACTCGGGCAGCAGTCCCAAGCACTTTGTAGACAAGCTGTAGATGTGGTCCAATTCATGATGCACAACTTCCACGGAGCGCCTCTAAAAAACGATGAAAGCTTTTTTTTCGGTACTGAACACGCGAGTAGTTGTCTACGAGGGATCAACAGCAATTACTGATATAATGAATTCGTCTACACAATGTCTATTGTCGCTGGAACGTGTATCAATCTGGAGGAGACTTACATGCACGCAATGCAACCAGGCCAAAGAGATTTATTCTTTTCACCTGCACACGTGGAAATGTTATCAGCTCGTGAAGTGTTCTATGATAAGACAGCTCTGGGTATTTAACGGCTGGTGAGTTTGCCCATTCTAACGGACTCTGGAGAGAGGCCACCATGAAGGCGTTTTATGTCATCGCCATCGCTCTGGCACTTGTCGCCCACGACAGCATCGCTGAACATGTTGGTAAGTGTTTAATTAACATATACCAATATTTAATGGGGGATAGCAATTATATAGACATTGTCGGCCCATATGTACTGTCGCCAAGGCTGTCATGGTAAGGATAAAGTCTAAATCACTAACATTCCCCTCCGGGCATTGCGTATTCCGTCGGCAAGTAAAAGTGAGTCAGCGGGTGAGACGAATCTTGCTGAGAGAGAGATCAAACGAATCGGTCCGTTTCGGCCACTTGCTTATCCACATTTTCAAACGCACACACAAATATATATATATATATATATATATATATATATATATATATATATATATATATATATATATATATATATATATATATATATATATATATATATATATATATATATATATATTCGGCAGAACCTGACTTGCAAATCACAGAATGGATAATTATCGTCTTAGGTGCCGGTTTCGTACTATCATTAGAAAAACTTGAGAGGGAGAGCCATATTTTCTTTGCAATTAGCACAAGCACGTCGATTCACCTTCGTAGCGCTTAGCTCAAAGCGATAAACGTCGCATCGGTTGGTACTCGACGGCTGCTTTGTATAAAATTGATTTCGACAATCTGTGGTATCTGCCTTTTTTTATTGCTATCATTTACTTATATACTTTCTTACAACATGAACAAGACAGGAAAAAGTGGACTAATGCTAGCACAGGAAGTTTATGCAGCGAGTTCAACTTGTGATCGTCAAAAACATCCTCCGGAAGTTAGGAAATGTTATTTGCTACCACTACACATTCTGCGAAGTGGGGTTTCAGAATTATTTCGCCAAAATTTGTGGGTTAGTAATTGAGTTGCTCGTCAGTAAGTGAACTACTACTGGTAAGTTATATATAAAATTTGTACCATTTTTTTTTCGAAACTTTAAAAGAAAAGCATGTAGAAGGGTACCATTTGTAAAGAACAAAGGAATTATAGGTTTGTTATTGTTGAGCAAATATATTCGAAAGCATTAACTGAATGATTATGTTTGAGAATCGTAGTATTTTCGGAAGCATTTTTGTTTTGTGTCAACCAGTCGCTACGCAGTTCAGGACTTTTTTTGTCATAACTTAAGCAACCAATTCAGTTGTTCCTCAGCAGAACTTGTTATGCAGGCTGACTGAATACGTTTAAGGGGCACTTTCTACTGAAAGTTTATTAGTCACTGGCCCACCATCCAAAGTTTTAAAATGCTGAAAGTAAAAAGAAGAAGGTTTTAAATAGCCCCGTCAGAAGTAGCTGCCAGACAGGATGGCCAACAGTCCGGTGATAATGAAGAAAAACTGAAAAGAAGCTCCAATACTTTTCCAGACTGACGAGGGCCCGAGCAACCAGCCCCAACCATAGTTTCATCCTAGGCCCACGCGTTTCGGGGCTGCCGTGAAATACTGCTCAAGCAGAGAGAAAACGCCCACCCGCATTGAACGAGCATGATGGAACACGGGATGTGGGTGGGTGATTAGTCGAGCAGGAAGTGTGAGCATTGATTCTTTGGGAGTAGTCGCAATCGTGGGTGCGTTTTATCTCGGCAGGTATCTGCGGATGGTTTTTTATACACTTGCACGTGTTGCGCTCTGAGCGCTAAAAAAGAGCGCAAAATGCGCTTCTTTCTATGGAGAGGGGCCATATTTTTCTACACCAGCGTTTTGTGAAGTTATGCAAGACTGGATATAAAAAAGAACGCCAGCATATCAACGCAGTGAATAAGAATGAGTGGCCGAAGCTCTGTCTGTCTGTCTGTCTGTCTGTCTGTCTGTCTGTCTGTCTGTCTGTCTGTCTCTTCGTTCGTCCATCCATTCATCCATCCATGTGTCCATCTGCCTGTCTGTCAGTCTGTCCGCCTGCCTGTGTGTCCGTCCGTCTCTGTATCTGTCCCTCCATCCGTATGACTACAGACAGACAGACAGACAGACAGACAGACAGACAGACAGACAGACAGACAGACAGACAGACAGACAGACAGGCAGGCAGGCAGGCAGACAGACAGACAGGCAGGCAGGCAGGCAGGCAGGCAGGCAGGCAGACAGACAGACAGACAGACAGACAGACAGACAGACAGACAGACAGACAGACAGACAGACACAGTATCTTCCAAACTTTGATATCCCAATGTACCGCTTTTCTAGGTATTTTATGATTCAATATCATAAACTCATTCTCAGTTTTCTACAACAAAAGAATATATGAAATAATTAATATATAGGCACGATGACAAGATTTAAATGGCAGTCGTGGACACAAGTTGTCAGCCCACATAAGTAAACAAATAATTTTTTAATCAAAGTGAACAATGTATGGGAGAAACCTTTGTCCTGTAGTGGGCGTAGTCAGGCTTATGATGATGATAATGAACAATGTATGAAAATGTTTCATCGTAGCACCACGATCCTGTACGACAGTGAAGAGCTCCTCTATAACGCCTATTATGCAAAACAAAGTAAGTCTCAAAAGCACATCAGAAGCGAAGAAATTCTAGAATTCAATTTACACCACGTACTCTGGTGTGTTAAATATCAGGGCATCAATTATCTTGGTTCTTAGAAACAGTGAATCAACCACCAAGAGCCCCCGTCGCTGTAGTATAGTGGCCAAAGTACTCGGCTGCTGATCCGAAGGTCGTGGGATAAAATCCCGGCAGCGGCGGGTGCATTTTCGATGCACGCGAAAATGCTGTGGGCCTGGGTGCTCAGAATTGGGTGCAAGTTAAAGAACCACAGGCTGACGAAATTTCCGGAGCCCTCCACTACGGCGTCTCTTAGACCTCACGTATCAATCAGTCATCAATGAATCACCAAGAACAATAGCTCATAATGGAAGTTTTTGTTTACTTTGCAGAATTAGACTAAACATGTGACCACGTATTCTAATCTCATGCAAGTGATTTTGCATTCAAATTAGGCCGTCAACTGATTATCGTACTAGGTCAAGGCATGCTATAGTCACGTCGTTCAACTCTAAACGCCATTCAAGTGGAGAAAAATCTTCGTTCCTAATTCGCAGCAGACAAGCCTGATGACTCAGCCAACCTATTGAGTGTACTTCCACGCCAACCATGGCTTCCTCGGCCATGGCCCCGGCCATGGCCCTCTTTTCGGCCCTGGCCTCAGCCCTGGCCTATGCCCGAACCAATTGATTACTCACTTCAAGGTCAGTATATCTTCAAAGCATAGTATAAAAAACGTGTTTTGTCTGAGCGTGATGCGCTTAACAAATGACGATGAAGTGTTAAATTGTTCCTTCATTGTTGCCATTGTTGCTTCTAGCATCTGTAAGTTCAGCCATGCGTAAGTTTCCTTTGCAGTGTTGTCACAAGTACTAGCTCCTTTGTTAGCTCGTTTGCGAGCAGTTTCTACTGTAAGGCGTTTAAAATATGTTTGTGTTTGGCGTACTTTTGATATTCGGTGGCACTTCAGCAACCGTGTTGCTTCGTTGTGCAAATATTGGCAGTTTTATACTGGTACTTCTGTTTCTACAGCAAGCTCAAAAGTTAAATTTGGGCAGAATACACCCTCCTATCCTTGTCTCAAGGGCATGTGTGGCATGCTTATTATCTGCCCCAAAAAGATGCTCATGCTATATGTGTGTGTGTGTGTGTGTGTTTGTGTGTGTGTGTGTGTGTGTGTGTGTGTGTGTGTGTGTGTGTGTGTGTGTGTGTGTGTGTGTGTGTGTGTGTGTGTGTGTGTGTGTGTGTGTGTGTGTGTGTGTGTGTGTGTGTGTGTGTGTGTGTGTGTGCATGCATGACGGCGGCGGTAGTGGCGACGGCAAAAACCAGTCTAGACAGCTCATACATTTGCTATCACAATGAAAATTCCGCAGATCCAAGGCACAGTGGGATATAGAATCCCTATCGCGGTCGTATATTTACTTAAAATGCGCGAGGAAGAAACCTTGAAAAAGAAGAAGAAGAAGAACAAGAAGAATAAGAAGAACAAAAGATGTCTGGTAAGCGGCCTCACAGGCGACCAGCTGCCAGGAATGCACTCCCTCACCCCATCAGGATTGGCCACACTGGTGCAGTACCTGCCACAACCTCCCATGAACACAGCGAAGAACCTTTGGCCCTTAGTCCCAGGCGGCTGCGAAGCCACTGTCCAAGGTGGCGGTCAGACCTGTCATGCAGCGGAGGGTGCTAAAAATTCCTCGATCTGCACAGGCCGCCATTGTGATCTGAACTTAGCTACCTTTAACGCTAGAACGCGATCTAGTGAGGCCAGTTAAGCTGCGCCAGTCGAGGAATGGGAAGGTGTTAAATGATTTGTAATAGGACCCAGGAGGACTGGTTAGGCCTTTATAGGTCTGAAAAAGAGACACGTCCTTTGCTAGCGTAGATTAGTTGACAAATAATGAGGGGTGGGGTTTCTCAAATGCAAGAATATCGCTGGCAACATAGAGGAATATTATAGCATCAGTGTGAGGGTGGGAACCCTCATAATTAGGTTAACAAAAGGCACAGGACTTACAGGCTTACGCACCTGCATCGAGCCCTGATGATCATTTGGTTGAACGCTTTTATGAAGATGTAGAGTAAGCCATTATTAAAGTGGACACAGTATACTATTTTGATGGATGACTTTAATGCCAAAGTGCACAAGAACCATGCCGGAGACCATGCAGTGGAGAAGTATGGCATCGGCTCTAGAAATGTTAGAGGGAAGTTATTAGTAGTGTTTGCAAAACGTATTAATATATGGATCTTGAGTACCTTCTTCAGAAAAAGGTCTGACCGTAAATGGACGTGACGAAGTCCTAATGGCGAAACTAAAATGAAATACACTTCAGTCTGTGTGCGCACCCAGGCATTGTACAGGATGTAGAAGTAGTTAGGAAGATCAGATGCAGTTACCATAGAATGTTAACAGCTCGTATTCCCGTAGAAAAAAATCAGAAACAAAAACTGATACACAAGAAGCCAATTGATGAATGGGTGGTAAGAGGAAAATACTGGAATTCAGAGTTTCGCTTCAGAGTCGATTCGAGGCACTAAACGAGATAACTGACGTTAGCGTTGAAACAATGAACAATACTATTACTGGTATCCTCAAAGAGTGTGCAAATGAAGTTGGAGATATAGTCACTAGACAGGAAACTGGCAAACTATCGCAGGAGACAAAAATCTTATTAAGAGACAACAAACGATGAAAGCCTTAAATGCAACCCACAAAATAATGCTAGTGGAACTTTCGAAGTTAATCAATAGGCGTAAGGTAGCCGACATCAAGAGGTACAACATGGAAAAAAATTGAGCAAGCTGTGAAAGGCGGCAGAAGCCTAAAAGCTGCGAAGGCAGATTTGTGTATAAGCAATAATAATAGGATGTATGCATTGAGTAACAAGGAAGGCAATGCCATAATCAATATGGATAGGATATTAGAGATAGCCCCGCCGCGGTGGTCTAGTGGCTAAGGTACTCGGTTGCTGACCCGCAGGTCGCGGGTTCAAATCCCGGCTGCGGCGGCTGCATTTCTGATGGAGGCGGAAATGTTGTAGGCCTGTGTACTCAAATTTGGGTGCACGTTAAAGAACCCCAGGTGGTCAAAATTTCCGGAGCCCTCCACTACGGCGTCTCTCATAATCATATGGTGGTTTTGGGACGTTAAACCCTACAAATCAAATCAGGATATTCGAGATAGTGGAGGAGGTCTACTGAGAGCTTTATAGAAGTAAAAATAACCAGGATGATATCATGAGAAACAATAATGGACCAGAGGAATCGGACATCCTACTAGTAGCGACACGAGAAGTAAGGAAAGCCCTAAAAGGAATGCAAAGAGGCAAGGTCGCTGGTGAGGATAAGGTAAGAAAGGACCTTCTGAAAGATGAAAAATTGTGCTAGGAAAATTAGCCACCTTATACTTAGGAATTGAGTGTCTCTTGACGGAAAGGGTACCCGAATCTTGGACGAACGCCAACATCACCCTAATTCATAAGGAGATGTGAAGGATATGAAAAGTTACAGGCCAATCAGCGTACTGTTCGTTCTCTACAAACTATTCAAGGAAAATAGCTAATTTAGTTAGGGCAATACTATAGTTCATCAACCAAAGGACCAAGCAGGACTTCGTGCCGGTTACTCCACAATAGACCATATTCATACAATCAATCAATCAGGTATTAGAGAAATGCCCTCAGTACAACCAACCCCTATACAAAGCTTTCATAGATTATGAGAAGACGTTTGGCTCAGTCGAGACATCAGCAGTAATGCATGCACTGTGGAATCAGGGAATCGAAGAACCCTACATAAATATACTGGAAGAAATCTACAGAGGGTCAACAGCTACCATAGTTCTCCATAAAAAAAGTGACAGAATTTCAATAAAGAGGGATGTAAGACAGGGAGACACAACCTCTCCAATGCTGTTCACCGCCTGTTTACAGGAAATATTCAGGACCATAGATAGGGAAGAGTTAGAAATAAAAGTTCATGGAGAGTACCTTATTAATCTGCAATTAGCTGATGACATTGTCTTTATGAAGAACTCAAGGGACGAATTAAAGCTCATGATTACTGAACTGGACGCGGAAAGCCGAAAAGTAGGTCCGGAAGTTAATATGCACAAAATTAAAGCAATGTGTTACAGTCTCGGCAGAAAACGGCGCTATGCAGTAGGTGAAGAAACGCTGTAAATTGTAAAGCAGTATGTCTACTTAAAACAGGCAGTAAGCGCGGAGCCGAACCATGAGAGTGAAATAAAAAGAAAAATAAGAATGGCGCAGGTCACATTCGGGAAGCATTCTCAAATGATGAATGGTAATCTGCCACTAACCCTCAAGACGAAGGTATATAACAGCTGAATCTTGCCAGTACTTACCCACGGAGCAGAAATCTGGGAGGCATACGAAGAGGGTGTTAAAAGCAATGGACATAGTGCGCACTAGAGGAAGAGAAGGACGAGGAATAGCGCGTGACACGGGGTGGTTCTTAGATCTGCGCCACAATAAACGGACGTCGAGACGCTCTGCTCGTCATCTCCAAGCGTATTAGTCGTTTGAACCCGGTTTTACACGAAAGAAGTCTTCGAATTTTACAGAGGGTATAGCTTAAATTAAGGACGACGCAATGAGCGATGGAAAAAAATGATAGTTGCATCTTTCACAGACAAGAAGAGAACAGAATGGGTCAGGGGTTAAGGATATTATAGTTGAAATCAAGAAAAACAAATGAACATGGGCCGGACACCTAGCACGTAGGAAGGACAACCACTGGTCATGAAGGGTAACTGACGGAATTCCCAGAGAAGGGAAACGCACGAAGGGGAGACAGAAAGTTAGATGGGCCAACGAGATTAAAAGGTTTGCGGCTACAACATGGCAACGGAAAGCACAAGACTGGGTTGATTGCAGAATCATGGGAGAGGCCTTTGCGCTGCAGTGGGCGTAGTCAAGATGATGATGATGACGCACAGTGGGAATTGATGAAATGCGAAGCCCGAATGAGGAAGGTTGATATGAGCACAACGTTGCGAGGCTGACCTAAATTATGCTTTACATGACTTCCATGTCATCATTATCAAGTTGGAAGGTGCCACTTATCTTCGTCATCTATTCACTTCACATAACACGAAATTTGGTGTATGTGGAGCTAGCGAAACAGTCAAAAGCGCTCTATCAGCGCAGCATGTAGTCTTGTTTTGCATGGCGCGCATATTATTATTATCATGTGTGGGCATGTCGCCTTCCTTCTTCCTCTATTGACGTCACGTGATACCAAGTTTGGTATATGTGGAGCTAGCGAAATGACCGCGAGCACACTATGAGCGTAGCATGTAGTCATGTTCTTACATGAGACACATCTAATGATTATCATGTTTGCACCAGTCATATACCTTGGCTGTGAGTTCGCGTCGCCCAATACGAAATTTGGTATATGTGAAGCTAGCTAAACGACAACGAGCGCACCCTAGAGCGTGGCGTGTAGTCATAAATTATATGGCATGGATGCCATGATTTTCACGTTGTACTGTCACTTATGTTGGCCGTGCATTCATTTTGTACCATACCAGTTTTGTAATATGCCATGTGAAAGAAACGAGCGTAAGAACTACAACACGTATAATGATATTCATGACATACATGCCATGGTTATCATGTTATAACTGGTCACGTATGCTCGTGATACAGTCATTCTATGCCATACCAGTTTTGGTATATATCGTAGCATCGAAATAGTTAGGAAAGCTACATGTCGGAGGCGGCTAGATAGATAGATAGATAGATAGATAGATAGATAGATAGATAGATAGATAGATAGATAGATAGATATAAAAATAGATAGATAGATAGATAGATAGATAGATAGATAGATAGATAGATAGATAGATAGATGTTTCATGTTTAATACACTTGCGAGTTACTACACAGTTGCAGTCGTGAACTTACACAAAGAAAGGAGAGTCTAGGTGTTTAAAAAAGTGTGATGACGTACTTGATTGGTTGTCACATGAATGTTTCATATAGCTTCATAATAGTGTTCTGCTTTCTTGCTATTTTGGTTTTGAAAACTTTCCTAAATTTTCGTGCTTGAAGGGTTTCTCGTATGCTCTTTCATTGACACACAAACAGTCGCGAAAATCCATGGCCAACTTTAAGATTTAAGAGGCAATATAAATCAATGAACCTGCAATAAGAACATTTTTCGCTATCCTCTACACTGAATGACAAGGAATAAATCTCTATGGGGGTCCCTTACCTGCCCAGATCTGCCAGAAATGGAGATACATGTGGAGGAGGAGCAAAAGACGACGCCACGCCACTCTGCTTTTCTCTGGCCTAATAGACCCTGGCCCCAGCCTTGGCCTCTGCCCCAGCCTCGACCATGGCCTCAGCCCTGGCCACTACCAAAGCCAATGGATTACACTCTGAAAGGTTAGCGCGAGACAGTACCATGTTATGTACGACATGGTAGGAGCTCATAGTCATTGAATATGAAAGGTCCACGAGTTCCACATGATTCACATACCCAGGTATACAACTGAAAACCAGCTCAGCCGTCTTATCAGAAGCTGGTTGTCCCGCTATGACGTTTGCGGGCTCGATTAGTAGCATTTTTTAACTATATCAATCGCAGCAATTTCTATTCGTAACAAAGGAGTTTCATTGAAGTTCACTTGCTCATCTCAGCATTTGCTCTGGTTTTTTTTCAACGCGTATGTAAAATAGCACCCGTTCAGTTGAGCTGCAACAACTCGTTTCGGCTGGACATAAGTGAAAAGTCGACCACCCTTCTCTCTGAACAGTTTTATTCTACTCGGTTATCTTTGAGTGCTTTTTATTTGACTGTTTTAACTTGCGACAACTGCAGTTCTGCAGGAACCTGAAAGTGCGGTGATTTTGATACCGCAGATATACGGTGATCCAGCTGCGTGGCAGAGCACACTTTTCTTTTGTTTAATTGGAAGCATTCCTATATTAGGTAACTTTACCTTTTCGTTACGGTGGTATTTCTAGATGTGCACCAGCGTAGTCCTCAGTGCTCCTTAAAAGCATACTTAATGAATACTCCGCTATGGGTCCATAAATTAGAGCGAATGAGCTACGCACAGTACGGGCGTTGCTTTTCTATTTCTGAGGCAATCAGATTCAGTGAGATTTGAAACTTTAACCTGTCGTGTTGTCCTTCTTGTGAACCAGCTGTGGTCTTCAGCCTTTGGTTCCTGTTCTTTCTGCGCAGGCATGCCAAAACCAGAGAGCTCTGCTGAGGAGCAACCCAAGCAACGGCAGCGCCGTACTGCTTTTTCCATTAGACCATGGCCTCAACCCTGGCCCCAGCCCTGGCCCCGACCATGGCCACAGCCACTGCCCCAGCCCTGGCCTCGTCCGCTTCCGATTCCAGCGCCAAACCCGTGGCCTGATTACTACCCGAGGTACTAGGTTGATCATTGCGATCACTGGATGGCAAATGGTTTTGCAAATTAAAATAAACACCGATTAAGGCACTAACCTTTTGTTTTGTGTCGTATTCTTCTTGTTCTCATTTTCATGTTTTTTCACGTCACTCTCAGTGGCATCAACACGAGTGGTGAGAAAAATCATTGTCATGTGTGACGTCACAGATAGCCGAAGTTTGTGACGTCTTCATGACGTCAATCCTCATGCCACCACGTAATGGTGTCGCCGCATGACATATGCACTTATCAGAAAGTGCAAGTATCACAGGAAACCAGCAAAACTACGCGAGCCATGAAAAATATCAAATTTTTTCAAACAACGGAGGCAGTACAAAACCACGTTATATGCGCAAAGCTTTTCGACCGAATAAATAGCACCGAGTAAAAAGAAAAAAAAATGTTACAAGTTCGCCGCAAGGGCGAAGCAATGAATGGATGGCAACTAGAATGTCTTACAAAAAACGACTGGCAGCTCCCTCCATTAGCTAATACAGCCGATGGAGCGAGCGAAGTGACCTTCCTGTGAGCTATGACTTCAACGCAAACTTTGCAATAAAAGCACAACGCGCAGAAGGCTACGAGCCATCTGTTGAACCCTACTCGGCATATAAGTGCTCGAGCAGCTAGGTGACCCCGCCCTGCCGGTTATAGTACGGAGCCGAAGGTCCACAGCCCTGACTCAGCCGAAAGAAGGGCGAGGCAACGCGCTTGAAAGCGTACCTCTTGCGAGATTTCGCAGGTGATGGTAAACAAGCCTTTGCCACACTATAATACGCCAAGGATCTGCGCACCGCGAATGGTAAATGTTCTTCGTGGATAGCATGTCGCTACTTTGCAGGAGTGTCTGTGGATCTGCGACTGAGTAATTTAACACGCCGCGAAGTGAGGGGTTGGAGGTTCTAATTTCCTCAGACAAATGAACAAGGAATCATTTGACTCTTTTGTAGGCTGCAGCCGTCCAAACAACACTGTTTTTGGTTGGCACTGGGGCCTTTTTTAAATTTAGCAACATTTTAGGAGCCCTTTAAACTTGCACAGCGAAATGCTTCTCTGGTACCAAATTACCACAAAGGAGCAGTTTTTCTGCCTTGTACAAGAATAATTCATGCCAGACTTCATGTTGCACTGTAGAGGGTTTTTGTTTTACCACTACGAAAGTTACGACACCGTGGTTCAGCTGGTTCAGTTCAATGACGGGGACACTAAGATTCAAAAGGACTGGTGAAACACTGCCAACTCAATTCTTGTCGATGCTTTAACAAAATATATAGCAAAATGTTTCACGGGCGAACCATGCGCATATCTAGCTTATACTTATCAGATTATGTATGCGCTGTATCAAAACCTTTATCTTAAAAAGGAAGATGGACATGTTACTGACACAATCAGTTGCTTTTTTTTCCTAATATATTAACCCCCCCAAAACTTCCATCCTGATCTGTTTGGGCTTCTCTACTCGGCGACAACTTTCTGTGGCAGCACAGCTAAGGCTACAAAGTCCAAGCATGCCCTTTTTTACTACGCTTCTCAGTGTAGTCCACGAAGACTAAGTTTTGTATACTGCGTAACATTATAAAAAATATAAACGAAAAGATGTAAATATTATGCTCAAGATCGTTCGCATTATTAAAAGGAAGCATCACCCATGTAAGATTTTCGTTCTTTGCTGTTTAAGTTTTCAGGTTTTCTGGTGCCATTTCACCTTTTCTCTGCCTTGGCAAACAACAATGGCATCACTTGGTTGCAGCGAGTTCACACCGAAGCTTCTGAACGAGTTTGAGAGCGTGTTTGTTAGGTGATCTGTATTCATCGAGCAGGGAGAAACGAAGACAGCGGTGCGTCGTGAAATATTTTGTTTCCCGCACATGCATAGGATCCACCGCTAGGGGGCCATATAGACCAGACGTGCCTCGAATGGGCTCCTGCTTTTCGTGCTTTTTAACCCGAAACAAGGCCAGTGACGAACCCAAGAGTTCTACAGCCTCAGCTGCCAAGACACGAGGAATCGGCGGACACCAGCTTCTTTTGGGTGAGTGCATCCTGTCTCAAGATACAAGACTTAATTCCCGACAAGCGCGTGTCCAGTTTATTAAGCCAAACGCCAAGTTCGTTCCTGAGCAAAGCCGTGCGGCGCGTGCGCAACGCGCTGAGGCGTTCCGACGGCACGGCGCGAGCGCTCGCGCTCACCGTGGCGAAAAGCTTAGAATGAGCAGAGACGCAGCCGCAGCAAGCGAAATGCAAAGAAATCAGCAAGACGAAGGAAATACAATGCAAACTGACCCAGTGGAGGCAAACAAAACAACAGAAAATTTGTGGACCTATGACGCTGGCAGTGGCAGAACAATTGCAACGGAAAGCGCTTGGATCACGAGAAATAAGAAAGACAAGAAGGCTGTCACCAATTCAAGGCCACCGGCCAACCAACCCACAGAGTAGCCTATCAATGAGCAACCTATCAATGAGCAGACGCTAAAGTCATCACCAACGCAGCAACAACGCAGGCCCAAGATGCCACCTCTGCCGCTCGATGACTTCAAGATCGTCTACCGCCCGCAAGCAGGTCTTGACCTCGCCAAATGGAACACCGTCGCTGTCACGCATGCCATCGGCAGAGTGAGTGGACTATCACAGCAAGACTTTAACCACAAGGTACGCGTACAAGTCCAGAGAATGGAAAACCTAATCATAGCAAGCACCGCCGCCAAAGAAGACGCCAAGAAGCTGGTAAGCATACAGAAACTACAGCTTGGAGGAAATTTTTACACTGTGAACGGCAACATCAGAACACCGGACGATGTCTCCAGAGGCGTCAACAGTGGCTTGATACCCGGTACGAGCACCGCAGAACTCATGGCCGGAATTCGCGCACCGGCAAGATACACAGTTCTTCACGCCCGAATGCTAGGTCAATCGACCGCGGCAGTCGTCTTCTTTGAAGGACCGCACTTTCCCTACTACATAATTTTCCAGAGCGTAGATTTCCGCTGCAGACCATATCGTAAATCAGTGCAGTATTGCCGAGCTTGTGGCAATACGGGTCACCGCCAGGACGTCTGTCCGAAACCTATCCCGGATTTCCGCTACAAATGTGGCAAGGCCGGACAAACGCAGGGACATTAATGCGCACCCATCTGCAAGATCTGCGGGAAAGGACACGAAACAGCAAGTAAAAATGCAAAAGGAGACTAAAGCCAAGTTCACCACCCTTCATCGTAAGACAACAGCGCCTCAACAGGCTTCAAGAAATATACAACAACTGGAACGCCAGCGGAGAAGAGTTCCCTGAAGTTAGCATATCGGCCGCTACCTCTAACAGTAACAATGAGGGCCGCATCTCTACGCGCAGCAGTTCCAAGTCAAAATTGCGTTCAAGTTCACGCTCCCACTCTCGCACGCGTTCCGTCTTTACGCGCAGTAGATCCAAATCAATACTGCGTTCCAGTTCGCGCTCCCGCTCTCGCAGGCGCTCGCGTTCCGTTTAACGTGCGAGCTACGCTGCCATGGCAAGTGGATCTAATGACCACAGCAGCTTAACCTCCTCGAAGTCGGACACCTAATCCATACAGGGTCTCGAAAATAGACTGAAAAGCCAGCAAGAAAAGCTCCAGAATCAGCACAGCCAACTGCAAAGCCAACAAAGTCTCATAAATAAACTGCTTCAGAGTCAAAAACGGAAACAAGAGCTCATTGACAAACTACTTGAAAAGTGCACGCATCAGCAAGGACATTCGGACAATGCAGAACAACAATATCAAGAACAAGCAAACTCAAGCAAAGAGCCGGCCACGATGCTGACCAAGGTAGGCGTCCAAGCCCTAGTGAACGCAAGGTGCACGATATTCGAAGAATCTGTCATGAATAACATGCACGCCACGATGGAAAAGATTGTCCAGTCTGCAATTGAAAAAACAGCCTCAATGTTTGAACACAAGATCACTACGCTTAATGCCAAAATTGATGGGATTGCTGCGCAAGTAAACAATTTTATCGCGCACGTGAAGAAAACTTACGTAACCATGGCACAGTTCGACAGCTTGAACAACCTACGCCAAATGACTCGGAAGAAGGCACAAGCGAACAGTCACAATGCCTCTCGCTCAGTCTCGCCGAGTCGCGATGACAGGCGTGACATCGAATCAATTTAAGATGGCAGTCCCTAACCATAAGTATAAGAACCAGCATTCAACTTTACGCATATGGCAATGGGACTGTCGGTCATACCGCCTTCGACACGTAAGCCTACAAGAATTCATCAAGCTTAACCAACCAGACATCATTGCACTTCATTCAGGAAACCAACACGCGGAACGTACGACTGCAAGGCTACACGACCTGCACACAAACCCATCGAACTGCCATACTTGTCAAGAAAGCACTATCAACGCAAAAACACAAAATCGAGGACACTCAAATAGAGCATACCCTAATAGAGGTTCTACCGGAACGAAAGACGCAGCAAAGTCTTTTCATAACCAATATATACAGCCCCCCACGAGACCAACTACCAGACTTCGATCACTTCATACGAGAAATCAGGAAGCGCACAAATGGCCACCAGATCATAATAATGGGAGACTTTAACGTCTCTCACACGGCATGGGGCTATCATATCACCACGAGGAAGGGTTTTAGAGTGCACGATACTGCTCAACATCACAGACTAACCGTGTGGAACGACCCTCTTCAGAAGACGAGAATCGGGAACAGCGTCTCCAGGGATACAAATCCAGATCTTACATTTACGGCGAACGTCACTACGGCAGAGTGGAGTGTGCTACCGGAAACTTTAGGTAGTGATCATCACATCATCCAACTCTCCGTAGCGCACACTCGTAAACAGACCAAGACTAGAATAGCGCGGTTAACGGAACGGCAATCCTTTAGGAATGACCTCGACGTTGAAACCACCATAATCGACATTGAAGACTGGTTTAGGAATGTGCTCAAAATAGCCGAACGCTACACTAAGGACATACAGTTTGACGTCGATACACCCGCCGTCGACGCGCATCTCCTCCACCTTTGGGAGGCTAGAAGAGGACTTCTAAAATG